AAAACGAAAGGTCCAAAAGTGCAACAACCACCTCGAATTCGAGGGATCAAGAATGAAGAAGTGAGCAAGAGCCAAAGGACGTACCTAATCGAGGGTGAAGTGATAAACCAAAGCGCAAATCCAAATCAGAAAGCAAGCCACACAGAACCTTCAAAGTCAGATGGAGAGAAATTTTCTTTAGCAAAACCCTAGGCGGACTGAGAAAGCTAGAATCGCAAGGGAAGTGATGAGGCAAGGCCTAGAGAGAGGAGACGAATGGAAAAGTGAAGCAGTTTCAATCATCTCAAAGGCAAGTAAAGCTTGGGGTATGTAGGTCTTCAAAATACGGGACATGCACGAGAAACAAGAAAAAAATGATTACACAAAACCATCAGAAAGGACTCTTCGCGTGCAAATCAAGGTCACCACATGGAGGTATAGCTCAAATTAGTCGCAGCTCAGCCCCTGCTCAAACCCACCTTGGCCAGAGACTGGGGGGCAACTAATGGTACCTGAAAAATTTCAAGTTTGAGCTTAGACGTTGAGGTCAGGAGGGGAGCTCAGCCAAGGAAACCCGAGCTCAGAGGTCTAGACCTGGGGGCCCCTTGACCTACACCCCGAAGGAAATTAATGGGAGACAGCTGGAAACCACCCAAAGCTCCCTCAACAGTAGTAAGCGCCAGTCTAGGCGTAAGATCCTCAACTGCCCAAACCTTCTCTTGAAATCAAGTGAGATGTTACGAAAGGCAGGCAAGGATCTTGCCTCGGACCCCATAGAATTAGGAATTAGGCTATAAATATTGTATAGTATCCTCATTGCGAGGTAGGCAATTCAAGTTGTATCAAGAACACTGTGTAATCATCTGAAAACCATTAATGTAGATCTCAGGAGCAAGAGACTCCTTTAAAGAGTGGATTAGCCGAGATTTCGAACTGGTGAACACTATAACCCCCTAGTGTGAATCATCCTTTATCTTAGAATCATTGCACTATTCTCACAAGCCTAGTAGCTCAGATCAAACCTTACTTATATATATATATATATATATATATATATAAACCTTATGCTCATACACGTTGTACTCCACCATCAGTATTAACTCAACTTTGGAAGTATATAAAATACATTAGCCAATCGACTCAATCCCATGAATATTAATCCCTCAAAAGGTTTCGATTTAGAAAACCACTAATTTTGAATTCTTCTTTTTACGATTTAAAATATTATTAAATATTAAATTATAAAATCCAAAAACAAATAAATAAGACTCAATATTCTTTTATTACTATATGCCTAAGAACAAATGGATTGTGCCTAGTAATTAGGTTAGGCACCACCCCCAATTTTTAAAAAGATGAGTGGAAGTCATTGTCATAAGCATTTGGAAGCAAGACTTTGGTATAAGCTTGGTCACACACCCCACAGTATTATTGTTAATTTTGAAGTGATAACTAGTCAATAACATGTTTTATGGATATTGATGAAAAGCATTAGTGCTCTTTCACATCATTAGGGAGGACAAGCAGTCCCAGATGAAATATTATAATTTATTTTTAATGCAACATCCATGCATCTGAAAAAGTAGCTGAATTATTGAGGTTTAGAAGACTCAATCTCAACCTAAGATATAACAATATTCGAAGTTTGTTGATTGATGAAGTTTATTGAATGATAATCTGAGTATTATCGGTGATTAGATGTTTAAACTCAAATTGAATTTGAGTTATAACTTAAGTTAAAATTGATGTTTAATTCAATACTTGAAATTTGCATCTAATTCACATTTCAATTCATAGGTTAAAACAATTTGAGCTGAAATTTGTATTTTATTTTCCTTGAACCTTAATTAGCGAATTTGAGATGTATTTGGGGTGCTCTTAAAAACCCGAGACTTCAATCCATGTACTATTCAAGATTAAATCAGGCTCTAAGTATCAATAATCTATATCCCCTATAATTAATATTATATTGTACAACTCGGTTCGACTCGACTCGACTTGACTCATCCAAATTGCACTATGTTTTGGGAGTTATTTTCCATACAATTATTTGACAAATGACCTACAAGGCATCTAAAAAGTTGAAATTTCCTGTCATTTTGTTAACAAAAGTTTTACAACTTACTCATATGCCAAGTATAACCAAAGCAAGAATGCATCAACAAAATTACCCTTTTAAGTATATCCATCAATTTCCACATCTAGGAGAAAACTTTCATTTATTACTGATATACGAACTCTACGAGATCTAATATCTCAATGTTCTTCAATGGCTCAGTTGTAGAGCAATCGACTATTTACTAACTAGTTGGAGGTACAAATCCTACTTGCAATGATCTAATACTCTATGAATTCTTTAATTCTAAATTGAAAAACTTGCTTTGATTGTTGAGAGTAAGTAAGTAATTTCTTGTCGTTGTTTCTATTCCGTTCTATCTCATTGCACCACATTATAATATGCAACAACTTGCTTTAACCGTTGAGAATTTGTAACCCATTCCCTAACTCCGCTTCTACTGGATTTCTATCTCTTCTCATATCACATTCTGTTGTGCGAGATTTGGAAATCACCATAAATAAATGATATATGCTCGGGATTTAAATAACTTTATTACTAAAATAAAGCTTAAAAAATTGTTGGCCAAACCAACTAAAGCAATTCTTTCAAACCTTTACATATTCGTACAATAGAGATCATGTACTTTATGTATACAATACCACTAGAAAATAACCTGAGCTATATATTATTCATGTCAGCGAGTCATTTTATTTATGTAAAAATGCGATTAACGATTAATTTAACGGTCATCGCTCCTGCTATTAGATCTTAAAGTTGCAATTCAAAACTCGTCCCAAGCCTTAAAAAAAAAATATTCACGTTAGAGTTCTTGTAGATACGTTTTTATGTTAATAATTATCTGCCTCATACCCTCCAGGCCTCCCTTTGTCATATTATCCACCCTGCTCAACTTTTTACCATATGACAGATCCCCAATAATAAGCCTTTTGGCCATGAATAAGAAAAAAAGTTAGAGCGGGTTCAACAGACCGTCATGTGATCGTGTTACATGATATATACATTCAATAAAAAATTATCAAGTCATACACAAAACTTAATTTTTTTAAAAAAAAAAAAAATTACTGACAAACTGATAAATTACTACTTATCTTGAGATGAACAATTTTTGATTGACTATGTACACCAGCTGACACTGTTAAGTGGTATGTTAAACATATTAAAAAATTTCTCGAATATGAAAAAAAAGTTAAGGGTTAATAGTTTTTTTGGTCCCTGAAGTATGTAATTTTTATCAGTTTGATCTTTAAAGTATCAATTTAGTTCTTAAAGTATTCAATTCGTGTCAAAATAGTTCAAACATAGACGGACTGTTAAGTTTTTGACGGAATGATCATATGTTAGGCACGTGATACCGTTTAAAAGAGTGACACGTGATCACTTCCGTTAAAAAATTTAACGAATTGTCTTATTTGATACCAAAATTACACGAATTGAATAATTTTAGGACCAAATTAACAAAAAATATATATAATTTAAGGACCAAAAATACTATTAATCCAAGACTAAAAATATAGGAGAAATTATATCTTCTCCTTCCACTCTCACTCAATTTCACCTCATAGTAAATCACTTAACATGAATTCAAGTGAACGCTAGACTACTTAAGTTTGGGAAACGCTATTATATGATCAAAAGAAATTTATACGATCGTGTAAAATTGAACTAAAGTGTAATAGAAAAAATGTCGATTCGTACATGAATATCCAAGGTCTTTTAAGTCTGACTATTATAAAGACTTTTATATATATATATATATATATATATATATATATATAGATTTTTATTTTTGATCATTATTTAGAACTATTATAAGAGATGAGATCGATGAGATTCAAACTCGTACCCTAACGGTCCAACAACATAATGCAATAACCATTAAATCAATTGTTCATCCTCACTAATATAAGGACTTTCCACCCTACCTTTTAGAGGTGAATTGTCATTCAAAAGGGTCAAGTTGCCCTGAAAAGTAGGGTTCAAGGGGTGCTGTGATATGAAACAAAGACTTACTGAAAATGCTTCCAAGTTGTAGTGGCTAGTAGCACTATGACTATGGTACGGTTTGATGGTACCACCAGCTTTGCTTTGCTCAGTTCTCTCTCTCAGCCTTTGGCACGCACAAACGTCTAATCTGAGATTACAGAATCCATCAGTTATAATGGAGCCGTGGTGAGGCACGAGGCTAGGCCCCATTGGATTGGTGCCATTATTGTATCCCTCAAGTGCCCAAAATGCTCTGCGAATTAACCGGTGGTACCCCTAGAGAGAAGATTACGTACTCAAAAAAAATTTATTTGGCGTCCTACCAAGAAATTTTATAAGTTTTATGAGTTAGAAATACGAGTTTTTGAGTTTATTCACAATTAAAAAATTTACATGTTTTAGGGTTATATTGTAACTCTTATGGTTCAAGTTATAATTTTTATGGATCATTTGTGATCAATCTTAAAATTTTTACAAAACACGACTTAGATACGATACTAATCAACACAATTTTATCGTCAACCTACTTTACTAGTTTCCCCCAATTTGTTTATTTTGTGGTGGAATAGACACAAATTAAACATTTTAGGGTACAAATATTCGCATTGAAGATGGGAATTGTTGGGTTTGACTCCTCTCCGATTACAAAATAATTAAAGGATCCTCTAATTCATTTTGCATGTTTGAGATCTATACACGTCAGCAAATTCGGTTTATTTTAAATTTTTAAGACTTTAAAATACAGAGAAGCCCTAACCCGGAATGGTTTGTACTACATGACTTTACAAAGAGTCTAGGAGTTCTAATACCAGCTACAACCAATTCTTATTGTAATGGTATGTATTTAAATTCTTATTGTCTATAAATAATACATAATCAAGTTTTTATAGTGTCGTATCGATTTCATAACAATCAATTGCAACTCCAGAATAGTGACAGTGATAAACAAATAATTACTCCCATGTACTGAATATAGGAAAAGTTGTTTTGCTGGAAACGCAGCTACTTCGACCCCCTCAATCACTACAAGCGCCCGATCGATCAATGCAATAGAATGTGTCTATTTATCTAAATATTATAACATAATGAAGTCCCCAAAAAAAGGTAATGAAAAGTAGTTTTTTTTTTTGTTTTTTTTTTGGGGGTTAAGTAACAAAAAGATGTCACCAGTACTTAACAACGCTACAACGTTAGCCTCATTCTCTATCCATGGTATTGCTAACAAGGGAAGACTACATTCATCTCTCTAAAGCAAAATTGTCATGGAATCATTATGGGACAACCAAGTCTTTGCCGAAGACACTAAGGCTTAGAAACCGAAGAAACCTAGTTCACTGGCTTTTTCCTTCTCAAATGTCTCGAAGTACTGATAAATGATCGTAACTGCAAGAAGAATTCCGGTCCCTGAGCCAATTGCTCCCATGAAGTCTGCCAAGACTGTTAATGCACCGATGCATACACCCCCAAAGGCCGCTGCAGTGGGTATGTAACGATTCAGCTCCTTCTGTAAATTTGAATCGCGATGCCCAGGCATCACCATTTGTTGCTCCTGCAGAAACATATGAATATTAAACTCCAAACTTTATATATTCACACTATATGACATGTTTATGATTAGAGAGTTCATATCCATAGTTGATGCTCTTAGTAAAAAGATAAATTCAATAAGCACATTATCAGTTCAGTGCTGCAAAATCAACAGGACTCTCTTAACCTTGAGAGTGAGTTTCCACTTGCAAGATAATAAGAGTTGCATTGTTTTGTTAACCCACACGTTGGAAAAAAGCACATAATATATGTCAGGTTGTTTATATGGTTTGGAGGTTTTCGATGTGATAGGAAAAACCTATGATTTGGACTTAAAATGCAATAACTTCTAAGGGACAAGCTTCAGAAACTAATCAAATCAAAAGACAAAAAGCAATCTAATAACAAATAGTCTCTACAAATACAGGACAATTATACCACACTCCCCTAATAAGGTTACATTATTCTTCCAAAATCGAAGACATGTTTCACAAAGCCTCCAACACTGAGCTACTGCAGAACAACGGGAGATTAGATCTTATATAGTTCAATTCCCGTTCTCCCCAAGACATGCCACAAGAAGTCCACGAACATAAATACGGCAGTTCAAAGTTTAACTAGAACCAAAAATTTAACAAGTGGTTACCAGAAAATGCTGTAAACAAGTCAGATTAAAATACCATCTCGGCACAATTTACATGCAAAAAACAACCAAATTGGAGAACAAACCAACAACCCTTCCAACTCTAACAAAAATAAAAGGGGAATATTGAAAAAGCTACAAATGTTAGAGGCATGGGTGTGCAAGTAGAAAGGAACTTGGCCTAAAACCCCAGTTTCATGATTGTCATATTACATAGAACTGTCTACGAAATTTCTTCCAGCTGGTGATCTTACTAAACTGCTCCTAAACGAGTATTTCATAGCAGTAGTTTTCTTTTTTTAAATGATTTATGTAAAACAGGCTAAATGATTTACATGATCCAAACAAATGTACACATTGTGCTAAGGTCAACCTGTCAGAGAATAACGCCACTCAAATCAATTGGCCTGTAAGCAATGTTCCAATGTAATAAGAACTATCAACCGATAATTCAAAAATCAAAACAACGCATGATGAAGGACCTACTGTACATTCCAATAATATTTTTTCCCACCAAGGTAAAAATTGTAGCTCTTTTCTTGTTTCAGAGTCACTGAGACTTGTAAAACAAATTACAAGAGACTGAAGAAGGTTTTTTTTTTTGGTCAAAGAGACTCTAGAAGATGAAGATTGAGGAACTCATCTAGCTTTACCTTGAGCTGCTTGGCCACATCTTTGGCAGAAGATCCAGAAACTTCAATCCAAGTTTTTGAGAACAATGCACAGGCAGACAGCATAAACACCAAATAGAAAAGAGCATGGAAGGGATTGGCTGCCATATCTGCCAAGCTGTTATACAATCACAGTGATAAAGAAGCAAACAGAGAAAACAAAAGGTGTTAAAAGAAAAAAACATAACATTTAAAAACATGACTGTTTTAAAAGCAAAAAAGGAAAAAAGAAAACTAAGTCTTATTACCTTGATGGTGCAGTGACATAGTAAGCAAGACCACCGACAGGAACAGACTGACCAGAATATTCAGATTCCTTCCACTTGCCCAATAAATTTACAAAGAAATTGGTACTGTACCTCCGGTGCAATAGCTGCATAGACAGAGAATGGGCTTATATCATAAACAACAGTTTTGACAAAGTAAAATGCTTCAATTCAAACAAAAAGACAACTCAAATACCTGGGAGATAAAATACAGGTTTGAGACAAGTGCAGACTGAAGAATGATAGGCATATTGGAGGTGTAAAATAGCTTTATTGGGTAAGAACCCTGTTGTCCACGAGCATTTTTGGACCTTACAGGCAAAACCACACGAAAACCTTGGAAGTAGATAACAATAAGGAAGATCAAGACTGTAGCAAGAAGATTCGTAACATTTGGAAGATTCTGACGGTAGAAAGCCTCCCGGAGAGCACGGACTTTATCTGTCCTAGTTATTAGCAGATGGAATAAAGCAATAACAGCACCTTCAAATTCAGCACCACGACCACTGTTGATAGTTGTTGGGCTAAATGCTTTCCAGATAATGCTTTCACTGAAAAAACAAAATATTTAGATTATCAATTTTCAGAATTAAATGATAGCAAAATTACAGTAAAGAAAAGAATTGCCACGTTACCAGATATTGGTAGCTATGAATAAGGAAATCCCAGAACCAAGACCGTATCCCTTTTGGAGAAGTTCATCTAAGCATATCACAATAATCCCAGCAAAGCAAAGTTGAACAATTATGAGAATGGCATTCCCTACACCAAGTTGGCCAACACTGCCATACATCCCTGATAGCACATAAGCAACAGCCTCACCCACAGCAATCAGGATTCCCAACAGCTTCTGAGCACCATTTCTGGGGAAATATAGAGCACATAAACCATATGTAAGAACACACTCCACAAAAAAGTTGGAACTAAATGCTAAAGATAAATTCTACTTCATCACAAAAAACAACAGGGGAGAGGATGGGACATTCTACAAGAATAGTAACTCGGGTTACTATCTTTATTCAAACTTTACCCCCCCCCCCCTTCACTCTCCTCTAGGCAGGGAGCAGGCTGGTATGTTAACGCAGATTAATGCTTACAAGGAATTATATCATTCATAATTCAACCCAACCAGCATAGCATCCCATCGACAAGTCCCAAAATCGTGACATCCATTAAAACTTTCCAATAACATTAGATTAATATTTTGTATGGACCAAGGGGGAAAGAATAGAGAAGAGAGAAATAGATATAAAGACAAGAGAAGTGAAATAATTGTAGTAATGATAATGCTTACAGGAGTGCACGATCCTCACGGACACTGTTGTCCACTTCAATGATCTTAGAGCCAGCCAACAGTTGCATCACCAGTCCAGAAGTCACAATGGGTGTAATCCCCAGCTCCATGACAGTCCCACGGTTGGAGGCAAGAATAACACGCATCCAGTAGAATGGGTCTGCACCCGTGGTAGAGTGTATCCCATATAGAGGCAGCTGACTACACACCAGAAATATGAAAAGAGAGATCACAGTGTATATCACCTTCTCCCTAAATGGAATCTTCCGGTCAGCACTCTGCACCTCTGGCAGAAATGAAAGGAACGGTCTCACCAGATGCAGCACCCTAAACCCTCCTCCTCCCATTTTTGCCAACTCAACAAAAATCACCCAGCAACCTGCTCTTCCACCCATTGGTAGTAATCAACAAAACCACGTAGTGAGTGAATGCACAAGCAGTATAGCATAATTAAAAAAAATATTGCGCAACACTTACAATACAATCAGAGATTTATCTAGATTTGTGTTTATAAGGCGAATTCTTCCTAGAAGTCTATGGGGGACATTCAGGATAACGGTAAAAAAAAGTTCAGCTGCTTGAGATTGTGGGGATCAAATCATTTTATAAATTCTTTCTCGGGATTAAAATCGGAGCATGGAAATTTTCTACAAATTTTGGACCAATTTTCTTCAAATTTTCGCACTTCAATAGCTCAAATTTCATGCTGCCGAACATATTTACAAAAATTACGGCAAAGATTTCATAATATAAGAACAAAACTAATCAAAATTAACTTATCAGATCGAAAATCATCAAACAACAATATTACAAAAAAAAATCCGGCGATCAAAAATTGAGGATTCAATAAAAAAATCCATCAGATTAATGTTGATAACAACTGCTAATTTTTATATTCAGATCGAAAAATACACAAACATGTTCATACTTACAGTGATCGAGAAGATGAGAATCTGAATGAGACTCAAGAAATGGATATTTCTCTCTCTAGGGTTTTATGAGAGACCGGGTGGATCGGATCGATCAGGTCCAACCTCTCATTTGGCAGTTTTCGCTCCACTGGGACAGACGCGTAAGCAGTGCCACGATAACTTAGCCTGTTGGCTTTCGCCACGTGTGAGACTGGTGTGACGTGGACTCTGTTAGCTGTTTTCTCCTCAATTTACCTTTTTTTAGCGGATGACGTATTAGTAACGAAAAATGTAGAGACCAGTTTCTTATATAGTCTTATTTGGAGATAATTCTATCAAGAAAATTTATTTAATTTTTAAATTTATTTTTTGTTAATTTTACTATTATAATCCTTCCATGCATAAAAGCAATAAACGACGTTTAAAGGAACGTCTTCTTCACAGATGGACACAATGTACAACGAGATACAATTCCTTAATAATCGCTTTCAAATTCAACTATAATATTCCAAATCACAATATTTTCTTCTCCGAAAAACAAGTAATCAACATTTACCCAAAATCGTTCATATTCAAATTTCAAAATGATTACATTCCATAAAATATAATTTTGATTTTACCATTCAAGGTTACCATAGACTCCATTGACGAAGTTGCAGTTAACTCTTGACATTCAAAACAACTTCACATTTTTAGAATTCAGAAATAGAGTTAAAGTATATGATTTTATAGGAAAATTGATATTCATTATAAGGTTTTAAAAAATCTTCTACATAATCTATATTTTAAACTGTTCATTGTTTTTTTTTTTTGCATTCCTATTTTTAAAATTGTGATTCATTATTACTAAATTAAAATGTTATAGATTTCGATTTTATTATTTTCTTTGTTGTGCAAGACAATCGATTATTCCTTGGTTGTGTTTTTGTGAAAATAGATCATGTTACTATGTGTGAACAGAAAAATGGAGTTCGTAATTTCGATGTCTTGATGTTCGCATTTGGTGTTGAGTGTCCTAATTCAATTGTCGTTTATGTGTTACTACTTGAAATTTTGTAATTTTTCAATTTGTTGATCATATTTTCACTATAATCAATCGAAAATTAATGTTACTGTAGAAACCCTATTGTCTTGTATTTTATAAAATTCGATGTGTTACTGAGCACAGACCTTTGATGTTACTGTGAACGTTAAAGTGTATGTTACATAATATATGTCTTAAGGTTTGCAATTGTTATTATAAGTGAAAATTGGGGTTGGGTGTGTGTTACTATTTGAAATGATATCATTCTTCATTTTAGGTATTGTTGTTATGTGGAAAACAATCTCATTTTGATTCGTTGTGTGATTGTAGAAAAAACAGGAGTTCAAGTTACTATGGACCAAGACACTTTGATGCATTATATTTGGTTTCCGAAATTTTGACAAGGGTTGTTATTTGTTTTTAAGTGTAAATTGGGCGTAAGTCTTTTTTATTCAAATGCTAAAAATGATGTTACTGAACTAGTGTTATCATAATATCACAAGTTTACTCAACTGTTCAAGTTACTTTTGGACAATATTATGTATAATGTAATGTTCATTCCATAAAATTGTAACATAATAACTCAAAATTGTGTTTGGTTGATATTATTAAAAATGATGTTATTGAGATTCAGTTAAGGAATTTATATTACTATGTTTCCATCAACTCCTTGGGTAGCACTGCTCATGTTACTTTTGCACATAATTTTTGTTAAGGACGAACAATAATATGAAAAATAAAACTAGAACCTAATTTCAAAAAAATGAAGTCCGGCAAAGTACATCGCATTACGAATTCCGGTAAGTAATATTGAATTTCTGGCAAGTGACATTCAAATTATGGCAATGGCAAAAACAAAATTGTTATTCATAGAATATAAATCAGTCAATTACAATGAATGCCTCGCTAGATTTGAATGTTCCAACACACTAAATCAAGAACAGCCCCAAAATCCAAAAATCAGTAAGTCAAATTCGAATTACAAATAATTTTAAACTCCAATTACTACTTCTATTACCTTCAAAACTCCTACCAAACACAGAAGTTTGTTTTTCAAAAGTATAACAAACCAAAAATTGATTAAGAATTTGAATTGTTAAGAGAATCTTCTAATCTGAATTTGAATTAACAGACCAACAATATCGTCGTAAATCAAGCATTGAAATATTTAATCAACGGTTTTCATATATAACTCAATCAAAAAGTTTCATATATACATCAATGATATAATTTATGTGACTTTCCATAACTAAACAAAACTAACATCGTTAGGGGTATTTTTTAGATTAAAAAAAAAGTGGACTTAAGTACTTACATATAAGTTCAAAAACGGACTTACACCCAAATAAACTTCATTACCGGACTCAAGTCATTATAAGTCCATCTAGAAGGACTTAGCCCCAATTTTTACATTAGTAATTCAAGTGGAACCCACCACTAAAGCTGAATTTCTCATTCATAAGATAATAAAGAAAATAAAAAAAAATTAGGGTTAATTACACTATAAGTCCCTAAAGTATAAAATTTGTCTTATTTTGGTTTCTAATATTTCAATTGCATCATTTTTTATCCATGAATTATTAAATATATTTTTATGTGATCTCTCAAGCAAACAACATCCAAATTACTAACAATTTTAATCATAAACTTTGTCACATGCTACCTAAATATGGACAAAAAATAATTTGAATAGTTTTTGACCAAAATTTGAGGTAGCTCTTAACCAAAAATATGTAATATGGATAGCTTTTAACTAAAATTTGGATAGCTCATGATCAAAATTGTGTAATTTAGATAGAAATTTGATCAAGAATTATCTAAATTATTTTTTTTGCCTTTATTTATGTATTATGTGTCAAGTTTTATAATAAAAAATCGTTAGTAATCTAAACGTTGTCTGCTTAAGAGATTACATAAAAATATCTATATAATAAAACAGTTAGGTGTTTGAAATTTTATCTCATACATATTTTCCCCTCAAAACCATCTCATCACCGATTTCTATAACATATTTAATCATTTAATATTAGATTAATTTTTAGTTTAATATAATTATTATTTCAAACATTATCCATACACGATAATATACGCATGTTGAGAAAATTTGTTGGATTATGTATTTTTGTCGATATTTTAAAAAAAATAATGGGTAAAAATAAAATTTAAATGATGTAATAAAATAAATGAAGGAAAAAAATTATTATTTAATATAGTGGGATTGATTTTTTAGATGTGCGAATTTTATGTTTTTATTGTGCCATCAAACACGAATTATGACTAGTATTCAATATTTCAGGAATTAAAATGATGTAACTGAAATATTGAAAATTAAAATGAAACAAATCTCATACTTTAGGAACCTCTAATACAATTAATTCAAAAAAATTATTAGAGAACAGGTTTTTCCAGCTTTAAAATTTTTACCGTGCATCAAATTGTAAGACCATCATAGCACCTTGGAATTCAACACAATTTTGAATTGTTGAAATTCATTTAAAATATAAAACAAAATAAAATTTGGTTGATTTTTTATTCTTAATTTGTAAATAAATTGAGTTCAATTTCAATTCGGAATGCTGAAAAAGTGTGTTGAGCAAATCTAGAATTAAAAACTAAACTCAACCGATAAATTTGGCTAGTCCCTATCGAGCCAAACTTAACAAACTTGAGTTAATCAACACTCTTATCCAACATCAATAATCTCCTAGATCTTAAAACAAGGAACCTACATTAATAATCTCTTTTTCACATTTACCATCTGCACGAGTTTTGAATTTCATGCTTTAATTAGTAAACAACCTGGCAAGAAAATAAGAAGTGATTTGGGATTTATAGAAAATTATTTGGGATTAGTAAGTAATGATGCATAAATTAGCTTTATGCACTATGTGTCAAGTTATCAATAGTTAATTCAGTAATTAAGAAGAGAGAAAATAACTAAAGCAAGACAAAGATGTAAAATGGTTCGGTCAACGTGACTTACTTCACTATGAAGGGTTAGAATGACCTTGTATTTTATTACTTTGGAGAGTGTAAGAAGATCAGAAAGAGCAATAGAGATACAAGCTACGAGAGAGAGGAGAGTGATGGCAGATGTGTTTGATGCCCCCCAAGTATTGGCAGGGCTTACAATTTATAGTGCCTCTTAATAGACTGAGACGCATTTTTAGTAACTAAGTGATTAATCTGGTGGAACTGATGCTATCTTCTCAATGGATGAGGGAGTTACAGAGCTCCCCTTAAGATCAAGTCAAAGATGACATGGTGGTTAACTTTTTTTAAGGCAGCGTGGATGAAGCTCTTGAAATGACTCTGTCTACTCCCTTAGTGATATAGCTCCTCGAACCCTGATGAACTTGACTGGGCATAGACCTCTTTTGGGTTGAACCCATTAGATCTTGTTTAGTTAGATTCTTTATTCAGACTGAACTTATAATATGAGTTGAGTCATTAGATCTAACCCATCAATAAGAGTCATTGTATACGGATCCATTAGAAGAAAGCGAAGTAGAGAGAATTCAAATTTCCTGAATACCACTGCAAAATATTGTAGTCTTCATTTGACAATCCAAATTAATTTTTCCAAGGGTGACAATCTGAAGTAACTAACTCATTGTTCACAAAACCACATTTACCTTCACACCAAGCATGAAAGAAGCTAGCCGTATACGCATTTTTGAACTTGCAACTACAATTTTGAACTTGCAACTACAATTTTGAACATGGTTTGCGATCTAAATCTAAGACTCGGTATCTCTGAACCAAAGCACTAATCCTCCCCCAATGCATTGGGGTGTCATCTCGATTGAACATTATAGCAAGCCCCTATCTATTCCATGTCAAAAATGCATCTAAGTTCTATATGGGTGTGATTAGATAATGGGGGGTTATTTTCACCCCACAAATCTTCATTCTCACCCCATTTAATTTATCATTATCAAAATACTAATTTCATCATTTCTATACTCACTCCATTAATAATTAAATTCACCATATGCTACATACACCCCATTAATAGTTAAACTCACTCATTTTATGTACACCTCTTTAATGAAATAAATTATTGTAAGAAAAAAATAATGAAAGAAAACAATTAGTTTAAATACATAAATATATTTATGAAACAAGGAAAAAAAAATAACAAAAAACGAAACAAGTAAAAAACCAAGTATGCTGAAACAAGAAAAAAGAAAGGGAAAGAAAGAAGCAGACTGAAACAAGAAAAAAAAAACAAAACAAAGAAAAGAATAAAAAAATCAAGCAAAAATTAAAAGAACAAGCAAAACTACAAGAAACAAAACTAAATATAAAACAAAAAAAAGCATCAAGTATAGACACAAAATCGAACAAGAAAAAAAAATAACAAGCAAAGATGCAAAATCTTAACAAGATAAAAAATAACAGATAATCTGAAAGCATAGATATATATACACACACATAAATTTTAAATAAAAAAATTATTAAACTTGATAGAGATATCAAAACATATCAAAAATAATGAAAATCCATATAACAAATATGAAATCAAACATAGAATTAAATTGAGAAATACTATTAACATGTATTTCACTAATAAATTCATATTAAAAAAGTATTTTTGTGAGTACACGAGATAAGAAAGATAATGAAACTCTAATTATGACAAAATATAAAGTAAGTTTACTAATTAAAAGAGGTGTATGTAGTATGGAATAAACTTAATTACTAATTGAGTGAGTATAGAATGAGTAAGCTCAATAATTTAATAATAAAAAATTAAATAAAATAAAAATAGAGATTTGTAGAGGTAAGAATAACCTCACTCTTAGATAATAGGTTAAAGCAGATTAGCACCATTTGGATTGGCTAAATATTGGGTGGTCCCATATATCCCATGTTTGGGAATCAAAAAATGAGGGAGGAAATCCAATCCTGATCAGTGACATTTGCTCCATATCCACGGGTTAAATGAACCCACCTGCACCGTGGGTTGCAAAAACTAGCCGACTAGTTACAAGGGCAATTTTACAAACTTACCCCTTCGTTTTAGAAAACCCTACACACGCCTTCTTCTCCTTCTTTCTTCACTGTCACTGCGGTAAGAAAATTGAGTAATTCAAGTGGCTACTTCATTTTGTCTTTTATGCATGATACAATATTGGTTATGGTATATTTGGAAATTGGATGGAGGTTTGGTATAGGAGTTGTATGTTCATTCCAAAAATTGTGGTCTTATGGTTTATTAATGCAATAACTCAACAACGATAGTTGAAAAAATGTAACCCATGATCGGGTTACACATATCCCAAACATGGCGGAGGGGTGGATAGGTTTGAGGGTATAACGGTAAAAATATATATAAATAATGCTTTTTAGCACACAAACATATGCCAATCAATGGGTACCACGAATGAGTTATGCTGGCAACCAAAGAAAGTAAACCCATTATCCAAACACACTCTGTATGTTCACCAAGCAATCCATTAAACACAAAGATTCAGCTTTTAAGTGCCAATTTCAATGGCAACCTGGCTCGCCTCAGGCAGCAACTCGAGCTTAGCTTGTTTTTTCCAGCTGCAAAACATAAGCTTAGTTCAGTTTCTTTCGCTCATAAAACACCTTATGTAGATCAATCACCATTACTATTCATTACCTGACATAATAATAGTAGAAGAAATCTGCATAGAGACCCATCTGGACAAGACCAGAGATGTAACCTGAGGAAAAGGAGGATATAAAGACAGGAAACAATCAACGATCGGAGAAAATTAATAAATCATCTCACTAATTCTTGCTGTAACTTACGAAAAGACACATATCCCTGCCCTGTTAAATAGCGGTAATTCCAGTTGAGAATATAGAGTGCACGATAGGCCCTGCAAATACACAACATAACAAGAAGTTCACACTCTCCAATAGCTTGAAGTCAACATCAAATGTTTTCGGTTTCTTTTGTAACATGAAAGATACAATCCTAGAAATATGATCCAGTTTTGAAAATCACCTTTCAGCATCTGTTAAACAACCTTTTTTTCCTCATTGTAAGTTGAATATAAAGAACATGTAGATAGATCTAAATATGCAACCACTAACTAGACATAAGTAATAAGTATACGTTGCAGTTGGTTGTATGCAAATTGCAAAACAAATACTGATGATTCTTATGCCTAGATCCAATTTTAAACAGGCATAAAACTTCAGAAGCTCAAACTGAACGCATACATCCTCATCATCAATTGCTCCTTTAATTCATCAATTTCACAAACTTCCCATCAACCCTGACCATGTCCTACACCTTATAAAGCCCTATAAATGTTCCATACTACTCCTGAGATGCTCTAGTGATGTCACAGACTTGCACAAGCTTCACTACACGGCCTGGGTACAGACAAAGGCTGCATAGATATTGACTTGGGCATGGAAGCACACACTAGGGTATTTATATCCTATTTCTAGGAATATGTATGGATAAACAGCTATCTAATCATAATCAAGAATACATGCCAATGCAGTCCAGGAAATTGATATACATTCAAGCACTAAAAGTATCAGTGGAGTTTTAAACATAAATTCAAGCACTCGTGATATAATCAGACAAAGAAGATAGAGAGATTCAGAATGAACCTTATCCACCCCTATTCCCAACTTTAGCAACTTTATAATATAAAGATCATTTTAGATAGACTCTATGAATTAATGGAAAATTATTCGTTGAAAGGCTTTTGTTGACATGGATAATTATTTGATGCAGAACAATGTGAATACTAAGTATTTACTTAGAGATAACTAATTCAACAAAAGTAATGGTATTTTTAAATGCACCAAAAATGGTCATTTCCATTCTAAAGTCCGAGATAATATTTATTCGTTTAAATGCTGTAATTAGTATGCACAAATAAATGTCAATATACCCAAGAAAGAAAACATAAGTCAAATTGTCCACATTGCCACTTCTTTGCAACAGAACCAATTGGGGAAGAATTGCAACTGCCTCCAAGTATAGTGAAAATGTCCAGAAGATCTGCAACAAATATTTCAAAATTAGCACTACATCCTGTGCCAATGTAAATATTAAACATTGTATGCAAAACTAGCTTGTGCTACAAAAACCAACAATGACTAGTCATTGACAAAAAAGTCTCGTATTCCTAGTACCATTATGAGATATAAACAATCATAAAGGACAGTTTCTCATCAACATGCCACATACACTAAGCAAATGAGCTCAACTTTTTCACAAAAAGTACGTTGCAAAATTACTGTTATCAGTAACAATTTTGTAGGTTGAGCCAAGGACCTTAGGGGCAATTTGCTGTTTTCAGAAACCTTTTATGGTAGCCCAAATAGCACTATACTCGCAAATGCAATATTTAAGATACATTCTTATAAACTGATATCAAGTAAATTCAACACGACCAATTCCCAAGAAGTACGAATCACGACTACAGTTAACTAAACTAATTTAATAAGTAAATTAACTCATATAAAAATTACACAAACAAGCAAAAGGTAATCAGTAATTTCGGGACAACTGACCTCCTGAAATGTGAACTTATAATGAATAATAAGTGCCAACAAAAAACACGCTGCAATAAGAACGTAATGCCGAAAAGTATCAAGCTTGCGATCATACGACTGCTTTACAGCTCGGTGATAGCGCATGCCCAACACTATCGCCAGAGAGCTCCCAATAAACACCAGCTTCATCACGGTGTTGTACACAGAAATAAAGACTGTAAGCAGATCCAAGTAACGAGCCAGAAACACAATGGCATACAGCTCCTGAGTCTTTAGTGAAATCCCTAAGCATAGTTCCAAAAAAATTCAATTTCACACACTCAGTTAAATCATATTAGCCCCCCAAAGAAGCTCAATTCAAAGGCCTAATACACGCATACAAGCAAATATGTTCAAATGTTAGTGCCATACATTTTGAATTTATTTACTAGCTCAGCTACCAAAATCAAACACAAGCAAAGCTCAAATGGACAATCTCATTCAATTTTATCAGCTATATTAACTAGCAAACAGATACTCTTTATGAAACACAGATACTTTGTTTAGTTCAACGTATCCATATTGATTATGATACTTGTCGAATATATATCGGATACCCATTACTTGTATCCAATAATCAATAAAATATTTCTATACGTTTTGATACCTTATTGGATACTTATTACACTATCTGATAATTAATAAAATGGGTGTTTTTGCACTTTGTAGGGGTAAGATTTTTAAGATTCTCACTTTGCACCCCCAAGGATTAAATTTTCCACGTTGCACCCTTAATGTATTAAAACTGTTGCAATGTGGCCTTCTGTTAGCTTCCGTTATTTTTTCCATTAAAAGTCAACCCATTGACACTAGCAGAAAGCTAATAGAAAAGTCACATTACAACACATTTAATACATTAAGGGTGCAATGTGAAAAATTAATTTTTGAAGATGCAAAATGTGAATTTTAAAATTTTTCAGAGTGTAAAGTGCAATTTGACCCAACAAAATATTTACTTATTTATAGATATGTCACATATATGGATATCCAAGATGAATATCTTTTGGAGATGGAAGTGGATACACAGAGTAATATGTGTGAACTTTAAATTTTACTCTTTACCGTTTCCTCCAAATTCAAATACAATCGTACAAAAAGAAAAGTTTTCATTGGTGTTTCTTAACTATATCTACCACCAATTATCAAAAAGAAATAAAATAAGTTAATTACACATATCTCATAGCAACAAGTACATATAAGCAAACTAGCTATTTAAATGTTGTATCTATTCTTTTAATTAGTCACGTTCATTTTATGGATATACAATGGTCAAACAATCTATGCATACTTGAAATAATATTTTCTATTAAATAACTAATTAGAAGTTTAAAACTAAAAATTAGATCATAGTAAAAATCTATTTTATTGCAAGCTTATCATACCCGTATCTGTATTTGTATCCATTTTTTTTAGATTTGCGTTTCCTATGATATATCCATGCTCACTGCGAAATATTCTTAGTTTTAGCGACTCAATTAACTCCACTGGACCTTAAAACTAAAACCCTAAGTTGAATAATTATGTATCCGTTTACAATATGGATAGCTATCATCCATTTTCAGTTTTACCTACTTTATTAACAAAAAGGGAGAATTATACTCAGACCCTTTGATATTTGTCACTTAATCAGTCAGACCTTTTAATATTTGAAATATTACACATCCATCCGCTAAAGTTTGTACGCGCGTAACACGTAGACCCCTGCCATTAGTATATCCGTCAGTAAATTACACCTAGATTCCCTGAAGTTTATAGATATATAATACTTAGACCCTTCAAGTTTAAAATATTATACTTAGATATTAAATACTCTAATCAAAAATACAATATCAAATATTTTAAATTTTACAACTAAAATTCATATTCTATTATGATATTTATTGAAATAAAACTAAAAATAAAAATCTAACTTTTAAAAAAAAAATAATAATTAGTATACAATTATACTATCAATTGAAATTTAATTTGATCGTTTAAACGAATAAATTAAACTACCAAATTACCTCAATTTAAGTTAGAAGATAGTGTCTATTATAGTTTGACCCTTTATTTAATTTTTTAGTTTTATTCTAATAGATAGTATAATTGTATACTAATTATGATTTTTTAAGAAAAAATTAAATTTTTATTTTTTATTTTATTTCAATAAATGGCAAAATAAAACATAAATTTTGGTTGTAAAATTCTTGTTTTATTATGAATGATTTAGACCCTTTATTGATTTTTTAGTTTTATTCCAATAGATAATATAATTGTACACTAATTACATTTTTTTGAATTTATTTTGAATTTTATTTCAATAAATGATATAATAGAACATAAATTTTAGTTATAAAATTTAAAATATTTGATATTCTATCTTTAATTAAAGTATTTTTGGTTTAAATATAATATTTTAGACTTGAGGGATCTAAGTATTATATGTCTACATACTTTAGGGAGTCTAGGTGTAATTTATTAATAGATATACTAATGACAGGGGTTTAAGTGATACATGTGTATAAACTTCAGAGGGTTTGTGTGTAATATTTCAAATATCAGGGAATTTGAATGATTTAAGTGACAAACTTAAGGGATTTAAGTGTAATTCTCCCTAAAAAAAATGAAGGCTAAAAAAACGCAATTGGAGATTCTCATTCAAAGAAATGGATTCAAGTAAACATGAATACAGACAGCAAGTCAATTACATGGAATGAACCAAGGAAAAGGTTCAAAATTTAAGACCATAAAAATGTATGCTTATATCAACAATACAGTGCCGTACATCTTCAGTTTCACAGACTCCATAAACTGAAGTAAACCCTAGAAACGCCAATTCAAGCCTAGATCACACACACACACACACACAGATAATTGCAGAGTGTCAGATATTTTTTATGCTAATTAACTTGAATAAACCGTACAATGCTCAATTCTAAAATCTAATGCATACATATACGCAAGTACATATGTTTACGAGATTAGAATTGACCTGAGCAAGATTTGGTGGCGTAGATTTGGAGAAAAAGTACCAAAAGACTGATCAAATGACTCATATCGCCAGCGAATCTGAATATGTTCATGATTACGAAAATTGATTTGTGCCCTAGATTGTATAGAGACAACTAACTATCAGGGGGCAGAGTGTGAATTTAGAGAGAGACACAGAAGAAACTTTTTTTCTTTATGAACTTAAGAGACAGAAGAAACTGGAAGACGACGACGACTATGTTTGTAAGACGGCAACTTCAATACAATTTGGTTCCTAGCAAAATGGCCACGTCAACGGAAGTCTTTTTCAAGACTGATGAAATTTAACGGAAGTCACTTGACTGATGAAACTTAACGGAAGTCTTTTTAAAGACAACTCTATTTGGGTTCACTGCTGTAGAAAATTTTGCATGCTCGTTAGGCGGTAGGGGTGCAACTTGGGTCGGTTAATTTGAGCCCAACACGAAAAAATTAAAATTTAGATAAGGATTTTTAATATTTGGGTTGGACTTAGGTCAAAAAATTCTAATCCAAATTTAATTTGGATTGAGCTCGGGTTAAGACATCAGATTTTGGGTTTAACCACAACTCAACAAATTAAAAAACAATTATATATATATATATATAAAGCATTAGCATTGATTTTTCATTTTTATTCTATCGTTCTCTGTCTCTCTCGTTCATTTTCATTTTTATTCTAGCATTAGCACTGTTAAAAATTTGGTTGAAGTCATTGGTTGTTAATTTATGTGAATATTATGTAATATATGTATTAGGTTTAAAACAATAAGCCTATTTTGGGCTCTACCCGAATTAAACCCATAAAGTAATTTAAATTAGCCCAAAATCATTAACTCAAATTTAACCCGAGCCCGGCCGAATTAAATTTGGGTAGTGCTCGGGTTGAGTTTATCAACTCAAGGTAAGGTTAGGGTTAGAGTTGAAAATTATATACCTAGGATTATTTTAGGGTTGACTGTCCAACCCGTTCGAGTTTAGGTGGTACCAGCTAACATGTACAATTGCGAACTCTGACTAGGCATGGTAATCGTGTTGAATGGAACGGTTTCGTGTCGGGTGGAATAAGCTTGTGTCAAAAAAACTCTTCATCCATACCCCATTCGTTTATATAAACGAGTTAAACTATCACACTCATATACAAATCATTTATTAGACGGCTTACTCAATACAATCCGTGTGTTACCCGCTAAATAAGAGAATAAGTTAAAATATTTCGAGTACACACGAAAAATCATCAACTTGCTACACATCACACATATTTGACTTGTTTACTATAACAATAAATCATGGCTGATCAAAAAAATAAAGACAAAAAATAAATATTAAATGACTACTAAAATTAAATGAGTATAATAGATGGGAGGTGAGACAGAGACTGGGAGACCTAACTTTTTAAAAAAAAATTATAATATCATTGTTAACGGGTTAAACGGTTGAAACGAGTTTATAGGTTGAACACAAAATTGATTCATTTATTTCACGAGACTGTCGAGTTAACCCGTTAACTATTCAAACTCATTAAGACTACACCAAAACTCATTAAATCCGTGTCAATTTCATGAATCGTGTCTAGAATTGTCAGGCCTAACTTCGATTATGGTATAGTCAAAAAAAAAAAAAAAATTGGGTATCATACGTTCAAAATTTACTATTTGAAAAGATATTTTTATAATTTTTGTAAGTCATTTTATAACTAAAATTTTTATTACTTTTTTGGGTTTTTTTACCACTGTTAGTGGATGTTTTTGTTACATTTGGAATAATTATTTTTTATCATTTTTCTTTAAGTACAAAAAAATTTATCACTTTTGTGAGTGATTTTATCACATTTATAAGTGTTTTTATCATATTTATGGGTATTTTTATCATTTTTTGGATATCACAATAATAACAAAACTACCCACAAATGTTATAAAAGTTACTTTCTGTGTGGTATCAAAATTTAAAATTTCGGTAGCATAATCAAGTCCTACAATTGTAGGTAATGTTAAAAAATGTCACATCATTTAAATTAGATTAAAGATTAATAGTATTTTTAGTTTTTAAAATATGTATTTTTTATCAATTTAGTTCTCATTATATTAATTTAATTCTTAAAATATTCAATTCATATTATTTTGATCCCTACATAGAAGAACTGTTAAATTTTTGACGAAATGATCATATGTTGAGCACGTGATATTATCTAAAAATTAATATATTTGGTTATAATTTGTCAAATATTGTCTGATTAGAGACCAAAATAATAAAAATTAAATAAAATTAACAAAAATATACATATTTTAAACATCAAAATTACTATTAACCTAAGAGGAACTTGGCTGATGGAATATAACGGAAGTCTTTTAAGACGGCAACTTTGTGTTGGGTTCACGGTGGTAGAAAATGGGTACCAGCCGGCTTGCATATTTAACACCGACCACCGATTAAAACTGGAGCAATACTATTGAGACATAATGAGTTATCATCAATGATATGATAATGAATTCATTAATACGACAATAAGACCTATCATTAAATATATTTTACTATCATTTCATTGATGATAATTTATTATGTCCTACTATTAAAAGTGGTGCAATTGTTGACAATGTCAAAATATATCACATCAACCAAATTAGATTAACCTAGCTGAGGACTTTAATAGAAGTCTTTTTTTATTACCCTTTTTGCTGTTCTCTCTGTGTAAGTTTTTCTCTCTACAAGGTCATGTCATATTAATCTTCTGTTTCTCAATTTTTCGTTTCTCATCAACAAAGATCAAAATTCAAAATTTAAATTCCTGCCTTAAATGTTTAAATTTATATTATAAATAAGTAGACTATATTAGAATTTGACTCAAACTCTCTAATTGCTATGAATGATAGTTTGTTGGACAATTAATGTGAGAATTCTATATACAATAGAATTATAATGAAAGAGTTTTAATATACCATGAATAGATATATTAGACATGTGATAGGAGATATAAAATTAAGTTGTATCTGAATATGTTTCAGTCACAGTATTTTATCTCTATAAATAGGGGTATGTATTATATAATTAGTTACTAGATGATCACTTTTTCAATAAATAATACATCGATGTATGTTTTTAATCCGTGGATCTATGTACAGTGTACTAAGATGGATACGTTGTATCGAACCACGTTATATCTTTAGGTCATATTTTTATTATTTTCCTATCTTTGAATTCCTATCTTTCAATAAATATTATTTGTGTTAATTACCCACTGTGCAAAACCAACAAGTGGTATCAAAGCTATGTACCAATAAGTTGTATTGGAGTTATGTTCCAACAAGTGATATCAGAGATAGATTGAGGATACTAGTAGAACAATCAAAACTAAATTGATAATAATGGTAAAATTATCAAAGCTAGATTGATGATACTGATAGATCAATTAAAGTTAGACTGATGATCCTGGTAGAACAATTAGAGTTAGATTGACAATCTTGGTGCAACAATCAGAGCAAGTTATTAGTGATTCAATGATCAAGTTGGCGTTGAAGAAAACTCTCTTACCATGTATGTACAATTCATATTTTTGTTTAGATTTACAAGGAAAAAATTAAGTTGGCATGAAACCAAACAAAAGACTAAGTTGCTTTTGGATTATTTGGATTTCAAGAATTACCACACGTACTATGTTGAAGATGTTTCTTTAGATTTTTGAGCTCTTAGAGTTGAAATCGCAGTATTCCAACGGATTGGGAGCTATTAGGCCAACACAAACCTAATAGTGATGATATAGTATCTCGTGGGTTACAAGTTACTAAGGCTTTTACCTTTGAACAGTGAAGCATTTACCATTGAGACCTCCTAAGAACAGGTAAGACGCGGGCAGAGATACACAGATGATGCAAGTCAAGACGTAAGTTCTTGAAAGAAAGAGGGGATTATGGTGACTCAGAAGAACAGGTTTGCACGTGGTGCTTAAAAATTGGTGGATCAGAATCAAAGGTGTTAAGCCTCATGTTGGGCATGATCAATGTTAAAGAGTTTGGTTCAAAAGAGGCTGTTGAAATTTAACCCAAAGTCTGTAATTGTTATGAATGAGAGTTTGTTGGACAATCAATGTGAGAATTCTATATGGAATAGGATAATATTGGAAGAATTTTAATATACCAGGAATTGGTATATTAAACATGTGATAAGAAACATACAGATTAAGTTGTATCTGAATATGTTTCGGTTATAGTATTTTATCCCTATAATAGGGGTGTGTATTATATAATTAGTTACCAGATAATCAATTTTTTAATGAATAATATATCGATGTAGATTTTGATCCATGGATGTAGGTCACGTTATATCTTTGGGTCATATTTTTATTATTTTCCTATCTTTGAATTCCTATCTTCTAACAAATATTATTTGTGTTAATTACCTGTTGTGCAAAACCAACATGTGGTATCAGAGCTATGTTTCAATAAATGGTATCAGAGTTATGTTCCAACAAGTGGTATCAAAGCTATTTTTCAACAAGTGGTATCAGAACTATGTTCCAACAGACTAGAATAATCAAATTTTTTTAGATGTTTTTTATTTTATTTTTTGTGCGGGATGATTCTAGCATAATGAATAATATGACAGATATCTCCCCTAGTAAGCTCGAGTTTGTTTGGAAAGTTGAATATCCCACAACGAGTGAAACGCAATGAACGGCGATGGAACTTCCTACAGACGATCTATTCACTCATGAGTTATCGAATAGGGTCCTGTCACTCAAAAAGAAGGATTAAAAGGGCGCCAGAGTATTTTCCAGTGTGACCCCTCCAATGATAAAGTCAATATTTGAAAGAGGGTTTGAAAAACACTATTTTGTTGCTTGGTTTAGGGGTTGCATACCTTAGACTTGAGCTTGAGAGTGTTACTTATACATCTCTAGAGCTAATCATTGCCGGCAGTTGGGTCCCTTGGAGGGAAGACCCTTGATTGATGCCTTTCTTTTCACATGGCAAAGGCTTCTACATTTAATGCTCGGATTCCCAAGCATTTAATGTTTGCTTTTCTGACTTTGTTGAGCAATAAATATAACACATTCTTTTGTGGGATCATTTAATGTCCCCGATTATGGTTGCGCATGCGCAGGGGCACTTTTGTCAGGAATTACATGTCTTGTACTCTGTACACCTCCCTCATTGGTTACTAAACTGTCTTTCCAACCATTCTGGTTGCTTTGGGAAGGGTGATTGATAGTTGATAGCCAACCCACTCCCAAGTAATGATACTCTGCTTTACCTCGATCGTGGGTATGCTTTGCATCAGTTGACCTCCCCCTTTTTCTTTTAGAATTTAACATCA